CTCTGAGAATTGACATGGGCGTGTGCGTGTGCGCATTCACCAACCCAGGAATCAGGATGTGGCTGGGGAGGTGCACGTCCACCGTTCCCAGGAACTCGCTGCGCGCAGTGATGCTCGCGATGCGGCCCTCCTCGATGATGAGCACGTGATCCTCCAGGACATCGGGGCCCTCCACGGGAGCAATCCAACGCGCGTGGATGGCGGTAGCCTCGGTCCTGGCATTGTGTGAAGGAAAATCGTGACCAAACGCTTTGGGACGCTTCTCGCGAGCGCGTGTCCGTCCACCTTTGGGTGAGGAAACGAGCAAAGCAAGGATTTCGGCCAGTAATAGCAAACAGATTGGCAGGGCTCGTGCAATTCCGTTGAAAGGCTGCCGCTCGGGGTACGCGGCAAGTCATGAGAGCCAAGACCTGGCGCGCTCTGTCCTCGGAACAGAAGTGCAGGTGGTGTTTGCGCCGCCATACGCCATGGTGCAGTACCTTGATCTGCTTGTTGCCGAAGAATAAATCAAACCTTCACATGCCAGCCAGTGTTCCGGCAACGCATGGGCAACAGTCGCTTGGCTAGGTTTGCGCAAAGTGATGTGCTTAGTTGCCAAGCCGATTCAAAAGCTGCTCGACAAACAGCCACATACTCGTTCAAGCACATTGAACCAAAAGTGTCAATATGCAACCGTCATGGCATTTGAACATGAGCAAACTCGAACATGCGTTCGTGTTTGTGTTTGTTGCACCCGTGAGTGATGCTGCGACCATGTAATTCAAGGCTTCGCGTCCTGTCCCTCCTTGCTATCCTTGTCGAAATCCTTCACTTGTGTCTGGCAGCGCCCTGCCCCGGCCAAGCTAAATAGTGACTAGCCAAGCACGTCAAGTTGTGTATTTGAGGAGGGGATGAGGTGATTGACAGGAAACTGGCAACAAAATGTCCCAGAACTATCATTATCAAGAAAGTCAGTAATTTCTCACCAGGATTCCGACAATATGCAATGAATGTTCAACAGTTCAATGAAGTTTTGCGGAAGTTTCAGGTGTTTCCTGTGAGGGTATCATCTACGTAAAGCAAATTGTTCTTGCTACATCTGCTTTCTTCAGACAGCTGTTTGGAGGTCGCTCGGCACATCAGGCCTCGATTGTCAGCATGGCAAAGCAAATCACGGGCAGGCCAGGGTTGAGAATCTACAAACTTGTTTCTCGTACTGGTTCGCTGGCAGGGTTTCAAGCCAACTACAAACTGCCCCTAGGCTTGCTTCGGCAAGCGAACTCAGCTAGCTATGCTACCTTGCCTGACAAGAGCCAGGCGCATGACCTATCTTTGAAACAAACACCAACATGCCAAACATTGCAAGGAACACGTTTGAAAGGGTTCGCTGTTTGCAACTGCGATTGAATCTCAAGGGGTGCGCCTCAATCCAAGTTCATCACGCCGGAGAGAAATCATTTGAGCGGCCGACAAAACTGTCTACGTCTGGAAAACGAAATCCAGCCAAAAACTCTTTGTTGCTGGAGTGCCTGTTGCTTGTTTGCATGCTCGCTTGCCAGAAGCAGCAGGAAAAGCTTGCGAAAGCTTGCCATGGCCAGCGATGCCCTGCGCCATGGCAGGAGCCAAAAGGACCGAAATGGGAGAGTGAAAAGAGAAGAGGTGAAAGGAGTGAGGAGGGAGGAGAAAATATACTTTTGGAACTCACCCATCTCCCCCAATCACACAAGTTGAGCTTGGCCTGATATGAAATTGGAACTAAGGCCCAAAGGTCGCCAAATCCCCACGATCCAACTAATAGGGATCAAGGCGGCATACAAACAAACAACAACGGGCAATCAACAAAGACTAAACCAGCGAAACTGTTCTTCCACCATGTGTTTGTGGCCTCATGCTGAAGTCAGGTGCATCCTCTAAACCCACCACCAGAATCCTCTAAACCCTTCAGCCTGCAGGCTGGCAAGCTGCTTCATGTTGCGGCATCACCAGCATCCTCTAAACCCTTCAACCTGCAGGCTGGCAAGCTGCTTCATGTTGCGGCATCACCAGCATCCTCTAAACCCTTCAGCCTGCAGGCTGGCAACCTGCTTTATGTTGCGGCATCACCAGCATCCTCTAAACCCTTCAACCTGCAGGCTGGCAAGCTGCTTCATGTTGCGGCATCACCAGCATCCTCTAAACCCTTCAACCTGCAGGCTGAACAAGCTGCTTCATGTTGGGCATCACCAGCATCCTCTAAACCCTTCAACCTGCAGGCTGGCAAGCTGCTTCATGTTGCGGCATCACCAGCATCCTCTAAACCCCTCAACCTGCAGGCTAGCAACCTGCTTCATGTTGCGGCATCACCAGCATCCTCTGAACCCTTCAACCTGCAGGCTGGCAACCTGCTTCATGTTGCGGCATCACCGGCATTCTCTGAACCCTTCAACCTGCAGGCTGGCAAGCTGCTTCATGTTGCGGCATCACCAGCATCCTCTAAACCCCTCAACCTGCACGCTGGCGTTGCGGCATCACCAGCATCCTCTAAACCCCTCAACCTGCAGGCTGGCAACCCGCTTCATGTTGCGGCATCACCAGCATCCTCTAAACCCCTCAACCTGCAGGCTGGCAACCTGCTTCATGTTGCGGCATCACCAGCATCCTCTAAACCCCTCAACCAGGCTGGCAACCTGCTTCATGTTGCGGCATCACCAGCATCCTCTAAACCCCTCAACCAGGCTGGCAACCTGCTTCATGTTGCGGCATCACCAGCATCCTCTAAACCCCTCAACCAGGCTGGCAACCTGCTTCATGTTGCGGCATCACCAGCATCCTCTAAACCCCTCAACCAGGCTGGCAACCTGCTTCATGTTGCGGCATCACCAGCATCCTCTAAACCCCTCAACCAGGCTGGCAACCTGCTTCATGTTGCGGCATCACCAGCATCCTCTAAACCCCTCAACCAGGCTGGCAACCTGCTTCATGTTGCGGCATCACCAGCATCCTCTGAACCCTTCAACCTGCAGGCTGGCAAGCTGCTTCATGTTGCTGCATCACCGTCATCCTCTAAACCCCCCAACCTGCAGGCTGGCAACCTGCTTCATGTTGCGGCATCACCAGCATCCTCTGAACCCTTTAATCTGTAGGCTGGCAAGCTGCTTCATGTTGCTGTATTATCGTCATTCTTTACACCCCTCAACCTGCAGGCTGGCAACCTGCTTCATGTTGCGGCATCACCGGCATCCTCTGAACCCTTCAACCTCCAGGCTGGCAGCCTGCTTCATGTTGCGGCATCACTAGCATCCTCTAAACCCTTCAACCTCCAGGCTGGCAACCTGCTTCATGTTGTGGCATCACCAGCATCCTCTAAACCCCTCAACCAGCAGGCTGGCAACCTGCTTCATGTTGCGGCATCACCAGCATCCTCTAAACCCCTCAACCAGGTGATGCCGCAACATGAAGCAGCTTGCCAGCCTGCAGGTTGAGGGGTTTAGAGGATGCTGGTGATGCCGCAACATGAAGCAGGTTGCCAGCCTGGAGGTTGAGGGGTTTAGAGGATGACGGTGATGCAGCAACATGAAGCAGCTTGCCAGCCTGCAGGTTGAAGGGTTCAGAGGATGCTGGTGATGCCGCAACATGAAGCAGTAAACCCCTCAACCAGGCAGGCAACCTGCTTCATGTTGTGGCATCACCAGCATCCTCTGAACCCTTCAACCTGCAGGCTGGCAAGCTGCTTCATGTTGCTGAATCACCGTCATCCTCTAAACCCCTCAACCTGCAGGCTGGCAACCTGCTTCATGTTGCGGCATCACCAGCATCCTCTGAACCCTTCAACCTGCAGGCTGGCAAGCTGCTTCATGTTGCTGCATTACCGTCATCCTCTAAACCCCTCAACCTGCAGGCTGGCAACCTGCTTCATGTTGCGGCATCACCAGCATCCTCTGAACCCCTCAACCTGCAGGCTGGCAACCTGCTTCATGTTGCGGCATCACTAGCATCCTCTAAACCCTTCAACCTCCAGGCTGGCAACCTGCTTCATGTTGCGGCATCACCAGCATCCGCTAAACCCCTCAACCTGCAGGCTGGCAACCTGCTTCATGTTGCGGCATCACCAGCATCCTCTAAACCCCTCAACCAGGCTGGCAAACTGCTTCATGTTGCGGCATCACTAGCATCCTCTAAACCCTTCAACCTGCCCTTCAACCTCCTCCAGGCTGGCAGCCTGCTTCATGTTGCGGCATCACCAGCATCCTCTAAACCCCTCAACCAGGCTGGCAACCTGCTTCATGTTGCGGCATCACTATCAACCTGCAGGCTGGCAACCTGCAGAATCATCTTGCTGCATCGCCGTCATCCTCTAAACCCCTCAACCTGCAGGCTGGCAACCTGCTTCATGTTGCGGCATCACCAGCATGCTTCACGTTGCGGCATCACCAGCATCCTCTAATTGCGGCATCTGCGGCATCACTGTCATCCTCTACACCCTTCAACCTTCAGGCCCGCAACCGGCAGAATCATCTTGCTGCATCACCGTCATCCTCTGAACCCCTCAACCTGCAGGCTGGCAACCTGCTTCATGTTGCGATGTCACCAGCCTCCTCTAAACCCTTCAACCTGCAGGCTGGCAACCTGCTGTTGCTGCATCACCGTCATCCTCCAAACCCTTCAACCTGCAGGCTGGCAACTTGCTTCATGTTGCGGCAGCATCCGCTAAACCCCTCCTGCTTCATGTTGTGGCATCACCAGCATCCTCTAAACCCCTCAACCAGGCTGGCAACCTGCTTCATGTTGCGGCGTCACCAGCCTCCTCTAAACCCAACCTGCAGGCTGGCAACCTGCTGTTGCTGCATCACCGTCATCCTCTCAACCCTTCAACCTGCAGGCTGGCAACCTGCTTCATGTTGCGGCTTTACCAGCATCCTCTAAACTCCTTAACCTGCAGGCTGGCAGTGGTCTCAGCAACATTGCATATGCGCCGCAGACAATTGAATGCCAGGGACGTGTTTACGCTGTTGGGCGTAGCGCTCAGCTGTTACCTGACTCTCTCCGTTTGGTTCTCTTTGGGCTTAACCACTGGGAGATCAGAGATCGTCCGATGTCTAGCGCAAGCAAATGAGGAGGATGAAGCACTTCCTTCTGCTCTGCTCTTCTGGGATAAGCTTGCTAGTATGCTCCCGGCCCGGTGGTGTGCTAGCGACCGTCAGGCCAAGGCCCAGCTGCCCGCGGGGCAGGCTATGCATTTAGGTGCTACGGAGACATTGAAAAAGCTCTGCAGCGAGGTTCTTTTCGTCGCAGATGGGCTGCGGACTGAGCTTGAGTGTCTGGAGCAGGCTCGGGTTGAGGCTCTCTGGCGCTTGAGGAAGGAAGGCTTTCCTAGGGGTGTCGCCTCTTGTGCCTCAAGCTTTCCCGATACCATTGCGCAAGTAGAGCGCCTCGTAATGTCTCGTTTCCTTGCTGAGCTCCGTGCGCTTCACAAACTTGACAGTGTTGTTTGGTTGCATGACCACCTTTGGGTTTGCCCGTGTCCTGGCCGGGAACTCATTGTTGCCGCCCTCTCTCAAGTGCTAGGACAGCTCGGCCTACCCGCGGACGCGGCCAATCATGCTTGTGTCACATGCTCCCTTTTTGATGAGGAAGTCGCTGTGTGAATGGTTGAAGATTACAACCTTGATCTCTCCGGTATAGTCGGGGTCAATAACGCCGGCACCGATGTCAATCATGTGCTTGGCCGCAAGGCCAGAGCGGGGGCCTGTCAGGAGCGCGCTCCCGTGCCATCGCTGAAATAGGAAAAGGGCCTCCTGTTGTGTTGCAACCACGGCCGGGCTCTAAAGTTAGTCCACCGCCCAAAATCATGCTCTCTCGAAGGAGATCGGTTGCCATTTCTTCCCAAACTTTGCACACCTTCTTCCGACGCACGACGAGAGGGTGACTTGCTGGCCGCATCACTGGCAGGCAACGGTGTGGGGCAAAGCTGGCTTCACACCCCGGGGTTGCTCAGCGCTTTCCGTGCGCCGTTAATCAACGCGGTGCAACTCGGTTGCCACATGTTGGCAAACGGCCTTTTGCGCCCATGGTCAGTGACTGAGGGTAAGTTGGATCGTGTATGGTCCCACCCTTTTTGGGCGGTTGCTTGCGGTTCTTCTGCTTTTTCAGTGGTTTGATGTGTTCTGTGAATTGTCCGATGTCTCGGAATGCATCTTTGCTGACATGCTTGCAGCCTTGGCTTTTAGCTTGGGGCCTTGGATCGTGGGAGATCCTTCCCCGGAGAAGTAGTCTGTGCTTTCCAGGGTGCTGCCTCGACGCGATGGAACCGGTGGTGACAGGCCCGTTCTTGGAGTTTCCCTACATGACCAATCCTGTCCGCAGTGCCCTCTACCAGGAGGGCATCGAAGTTGCCGGGGAGGGGCATGCCGCCTTTCTCTTTAAAGGGAGTTTCCCAAACGGATTCTATTGCACCTGGTAGGCTCCTGACACTCGTCCGTCCAGGAAACGACCTCGTCCTGCGAAGGATTTGAAATCTAAAACGCTGCGCGCAGGCGTGTGGCTGCAACAAAACGACCCCTAGATATGCTTGCAAAATGCCCCGCAGCTGCGTTTCTGCAAGGCGAGCTAAAAAACAATGAAAAAAAGGGTCCAAGCCAGCCGAAAACCCAGCCAGAAGCACAATGGCCTGGCATCGAAGCCTCCAGCCTGCCAAGTCATACGGATCATACGGATCATACGGTCATACGGTCATACGGTCACGGCTTGGCACTTCGGGCGTGCCCCATGCGCCACGTTCCTGCCTGGCATCAAAGCCTCCACCAGCCTGCCAAGTCCGCGCCACCCGAGGACGGCCTCGAGGCCCTCTAAAGAGAGAGGTTGAACGCCGGGGCCACTATTCGTCAATTTTGACGAACGGTGGCACCCCTTAAAAAAAGTGACAGCAGTGCGCTTTTTTGCCAATGGCTGCAAGGTCAAAATTCCGACTTTGCTCTTCCACCAAGGTTGCAATTCCGACTTTGCCTAAGCTTCCGATTTTGCCCGAAAAACCCAGGCGCGGGCCGGGTGCGGGCCGGGTGCGGACTTTCCGCTAACCAACCTGGCAGTGTGCGATATTTTCGTACACTGCAGCATGCTTGTCCAGAACTTTCAGAACATCAGCAAATCGCCCGCAGCCCCAAAAACCCGGGGGCCCGGGCCTGGTGCAGGCCTAGCGCGGACCCGCACCAGCCGGGCGCGGGCCGAGTACGGGCCTAGCACGGGCCGCTGCCGGGCTTCGAATGGTGCCGATTGCGCTTTTTTTCAGTCCGGATCACTACAATACCTGCTCCGGACTTCAGAACTAAGCTTCCCAACTGAAGACCACCCACGGACTGTGTTACGGGGCAACACGTTTTTCCAAGTACTTCTCCGAACGGCCGGAGTTGGACTGAACGGTACCAAGCCCCGCGCGGAGTAAGAAGCAGTAAGTTACTTGGACGACGTCTTTAGCCACTGGACTAAGGCGTCGGCAAAAACATATGTAAACATGTTTAAAGGACCTGTTACCGGCAACATTCCAAGGTTCTAAACCCGCAGAAGGACGAGTGCTATGGCGCGCGCCGCTGCCAAAAGCGCTCAGGTTTATTTTTGGGGTTCTTAAACTTGCCGGCCACGTCGAAGAGGGTGACGCCGCCTAGGTTCGCCTTGGCCATGACGCAGGTCCTGCAGCTTGAAGATCTGCACCATCACGGAGTTGGTGTTTGTAAAGAGCAGCCTTATCTTTGGGAAGAGCCTTCTTATGTGAAGGTAGTAGGCCTTCTCCATTATAGCTTGGAGAGTTGCAGCGTGCGGGCGCCAACTTAGGTGGGCACGCTTGCGCAGGCCTTGCTGCGGTCTCCACAAAGGTCAGAAACCCCTCCAAGTCGTTGATCTAAAGCTTAAAGTTTGTCACGGAGCTTTTGCCCACGGCCCGCTAAAACTTGGCCGGGTCCACGTAGGCGTTTGTGTTTCTGAACTTGTTGGGGTTCATGCAGCAGCGGTCAAAGATGGCGTTCTGGGTAAGCTTCACCACCTTCTTGGCAACCACGCTTTCCGCCGTCTTAAGCTGCCTACCATGCTTACCTTGCTAATTAAGATTGATGAAAAAGTCAGCCTGGTAATGCTTCTGGCACCTGCTCCACTCCTCCAGCTAAATGCAAGCGAAAATTCATTTTTAATAATAAGCTGGACTAAGTGCCTCTGCAACCCGAAGAAACCGCCATTTTGCTTTATGTACAGGAACGATGGAGAACGTTGGCCTGTGCTGTGTATGGTCCAAGCACGGTTCTGCCAGCTTTTAAATTTGTGGCTATGGAGTCTCTTGGCTTGAGTGACTTGGCGGAGCGCAACAATGCACTAGTCGAAATGCATGTGCTTTTCAGATGGTGTTAAACTCATTGCCTTTGATGCTCCCGCCTCTTTACGCAGGCTTTCGGGCGCGGTTGCTTTTTATGGTTTGCCCGACGGGGCCTTAATTGTTACACTGATTGTCCGCTCAATACCAAGACATAATTCACCCTTTGGCATTGGGACCCACGGCGGCCGCCTTGCTTCGGGTGGCCGGTCGTTTGTGGGCACATCGCCTTTTGGCCGCCGATTGCAGCAATGGGAGTGATGGTCGTTTGCAGTGAGGGCTGACCCTTGGCTAACCTGGAGGTGTGACAATTTATTTCTTTCCGGTTATTCTTGACCTCTCTAGAGGGGGTTTCTATTCTACCTGAGAGGCTCCTAGCACTCGTCCGTGACCTCGTCCTGCGAAGGGTTTGAAGTCTAAAACGCTGCGTGGAGGCGTGTGGCTGCAAAATAATGACCCCTAGATACGCTTGCAATTTGGCTCCAGGTTGCATTTCAAGCGAGCCAACCTTTGCAGGGCTAAGAAAAAAAAACAGAAAACAAGGGGTCCCAAAAAAGGGGTCCCAAAAAAAATGGAAAAGGGGTTTCCTTTGGCAAAGCTTGACATCGCTTGAAATGCAACCTGGAGCCAAATTGCTGCGCATATCTAGGGGTCATTATTTTGCAGCCACACGCCTCCACGCAGCGTTTTAGACTTCGAATCCTTCGCAGGACAAGGTCGTTTCCTGGACGGACGAGTGCTAGGAGCCTCTCAGGAATAGAATCCATTTGGGAAACCCCCTCTAAAGAGAGAGAGAAGCCAACCAGCCAGAAGCCAGCCAAACCAGCCAGAAGCCAACCAGAAAGCCAGCCAAACCAGCCAGAAGCCAACCAGAAAGCCAGCCGAAAGCCAGCCAGAAAACCAGCCAGCCAGCCAAACCTCTTTTTTTTGATAGCCAAAGCCCAGCCAGAAGCCAGCCAGAAGCCAACCAAACCCAGCCAGAAGCCAGCCAGGAGCCAACCAAACCCAGCCAAAACCCAGCCAGAAGCCAGCCAAAAGCCAGCCAGAAGCCAGCCAGAAAGCCAGCCAGGGTTTCCTTTGAGGGGGCTCGCCTTGCAGAAACAAAGGCAGCTGCGGGGCATTTTGCCAAACCGCATATCTAGGGGTCGTCATGTTGCAGCCACACGCCTCCACGCAGCGTTTTAGACTTCGAATCCTTCGCAGGACGAGGTCGTTTCCTGGACGGACGAGTGCTAGGAGCCTCTCAGGTAGAATAGAATCCATTTGGGAAACCCCCTCTAAAGAGAGAGCTTGGCCTGCTCTGCAAAGGAGCGCGCTCTTGCAAAGAAGCGTGCTCTGCTGCAAAGAAGCGTCTGCACAGGAGCGTGCTCTGCAAAGAAGCGTGCTCTGCAAAGGAGCGTGCTCTGCAAAGGAGCGTGCTCTGCAAAGGAGCGTGCTGCTCGTGCTCAAAGGAGAGCGCTCTGCAAAGGAGAGTGCTCTGCAAAGGAGAGTGTTCTGCAGAGGAGCGTGCTCTGCAAAGGATATCTCTGTCTTCACCGCGCCCGAAGCTGACTCACCGAAGCTGACTCACCGAAGCTGACCCACCGAAGCTGATTTATTTATTTCTGTAGTTGTGTGTCTTCACAAACAAAAAATATTTGACTTCGCGCCCGAAGCTGACTCACCGAAGCTGACTCACCGAAGCTGACTCACCGAAGCTGACTATTGATTTCTCTAGTTGTGGGTCTTCACAAACAGAAAATATTTGACTTCGCGCCCAAAGCTGACTCGTCTCCATCCCCGCCTCCCGGCCGCGCCACCTGCCCGGCATCGGAGCCGCGCCAGGCCGCCGACGTGGCGCCGATACCGAGCGCGCCACATGCCTGCCCGGCATAGAAGCCTCCCTGGCGCGCCACCTGCCCGGCATAGAAGCCTCCAGCCTGCCGAGCCCGCGCCACCCGAGGTCGGGATTGTTTCACCGAGGTCGGAATTCCGACTTTGCTCTCTCACCGAGGTCGGAATTCCGACCTCGCTTTTTTGCCCGAAAAACTCATCACCAGGCCAGCGCCGTTGCATCGCTGACGGAGTGTTTTTTTTCACCATTCACTCGCCCTGCCGTCAATCCTGTTGTCACCCCAGGATTGCCCCCTTCAATCCTGTTGTCACCCCAGGATTGCCCCCTTCAATCCGGTGCACTACGAGCAGCTCGGGCTTGGAACTGTTCTTGCCCGAGCACAGGCTCGTGATGGAGTCGGCCCCGCTGTAGAGCTCCCGGGCCTCGGGCGCGTCGTTGATGCTCAGGACGAAGGGCAGGCCGCTCGCGAAGAGTGCGTCTCGCAGCTCCGAGTGAAAGACCAGGTCGTGGCCCTCCCCTCTCGCACCATAGTAGTTCATGCTGCGGCCGGGGAAAATGTAAGGAGGGTCAGCGTAGATGCACTGGTGCGCCGGGCAGGGCAGTGCCCGCAGGTAGGCCAGTGCGTCCTGGCGCCGCACGGTCACATTGCAACGGTGGCTGCTGCAGACGCCGCACGCTGCTCAGTGCCAGTGGCCGCTGCTGCGCGAAGGAGCCCCACTTTCCCGAGAAGCTGTTGCGCAGCAGGACGTACGCGCAGGCAGCCCGGCGCCCGGCACGGCCTCTCAGCGCGCCCGGCAGGAGGTGCGCGAAGTAGAAGCGCCTGTCCACCCTGCGCCCCACCAGGCGCAGCAAGGAGCGCAGGAAGACCGGGTCTCGCCTCAAGTAGCAGCGGCGCAGGTTTGCGAGGGGCTCGAAGGCGTCGACGCCGCGCACCTCCAGGCCCGGGCGCCGGGTGGCAAGGTAGTACCGAAGAAGGGAGAGTGAAGCACAGCGACGTCCCCCAGCAGCCGGTCCAGGTGAGGAGCTAACCACGCTTTGCTTCCAAAATACTTCAGCTGCATGCCTGCCTTTAGTTTTGTCCCTGAAAACTCCGGATGCGATGCCGTAAATATGGCATCGCATCCGGAAAAAAACTCTGTGAGCGCACTGCTATACAGCAAGGCGCTGACGGACTCGCCGCCCGGCTTCCTTTAGATTTTATCCCGGAAAACTCTGGAAGCGCCCTGCTATTCAGCAGGGCGCTCCCGGACTCGCCGCCCGGCTTCCCGGCTTCGAATTTGGCAAGTGAAACAAAGGGATGGGGAAGATCAAGCTTTTCCCCACGCGCGACCGGATCGAAACTCATCCCATGGAGTTTCATGTCAAACACGCCAGCATAGCGAACGTGCTTGACATCATGAGAAAGTGAAATTGGCTATGTGCAATTCTGCGCCACAAAGTCGAGACCCAAGGCAACGACCTGCAAAAAGGTGAAACGTGAAGTGATCGGTCGTCAAACGCAATCACATCGGAAACTGACATCAGAAAAATGCATGCCCGAATAATCTCAAGCCCGGATATGCCGGTGATTTCGGTACCATTCAACCCATCGAAGTCTGGCAGTTTTGAAATCATAGTCAGGATCACGCGGGTCGACCAAGAGAGCACTAATGACATCGGGAGTCAAAATCTTGATCTTTGAGTTCAATATTTGCCTGTCTGCTTTGCAAAGAAATCGCGCATGTGCCTCTCGACCTCCGATGCACAAGGGATTAAAGGTCGAATTTTCAAACCTGCAGCTTTGACCCGGAAACCAAAGGTCCTCCTCGTGTCTGCATCTGCAGTGGAAAGTTTCCATGGGAGGAGTCTTTGCCCCGTGATTGTACTGGTCGACTGAAGAGCACTTCGCAGGCTGACAGCTTGCGCACCCAAAGTCTTTTCGGTATGTATCATAGACCGATGTATGCCAGGCGTGACATACGTGCCGTTGACATGAGGATGCTGATTCGGAATTGGGCAACCCGTGAAAAGACCGAAGGAGACAACAAGCTCAGCCCAAGTGATGCGCCTATTGGAGTCGGTCTCGTCCGGCCACTGCAAGGTGGCCGCCCATCGAAGCAGTGATTGCGTGAAAGTAATCCCCCAAATGGCACGTTCGGTCCAGTCCTCGAGATTTGACAGATCGCAATACGGGTTGCCAATGTAGCGGACTGTGCCTGGCACGTCATGCAGTGGGTCATCATAGTCACTGGCATTCACGGGATGGTTGATGGCATGCATGTACGTCCTGAGCGCAGAGTGCTGGTAAACGTAACTGGCACCGACGTTGTTGTCTGGTACGCTCATCAATGATATGTTGCATTCCAGGAACTGGGCTAGCAAGGGCAGCTTTTGCAGCAGCATCTGCAGCGTGGTTACCAGCGGCGTGGTACCAGTTCTCGTTCGGCCTTTCAGGGATGAAGTGGCTTTTGACCTTCAGGTACACGATGACTCTATCCTCCCGAGGCCATGCGTTGATGTTCGCATGGAGCATCTTTAGAAGATCATAGTCTTTGTGTGTGGCAAAATCGTGGATGCCGCCTCCTTTGCTGAAGAAACATAGATGCCCCAAAGCGACTTGGCTGTCAGTCACGATGCGGACATTCTTAGCTGAAGCAACAGCGATGGCAACGGCTGTTACTTCAGCCCTGTTGATCGATTGCCGTCCAGGTGTACGACCGCATTGATGAACTGTGAATTGCTCGACTAAATTGTCAAAGCCGTAAGGGTAAATCCTTGGTTGTAGGCCGTGCGCCGGGTCCTGCACTACCGCCCAGGAGGACTAGCGGTAATTGAGCATCTTGGCAACTGCCATCCGTGTAAAAGGCGATGATGTCATCGCAATCAAGTGGGTCATATACCTTCGGGATGGGCAAGCATCTCCAGTATCGCGTGACCGCAGAGGCTTCTGGTGCACAAACCGGCCAAAGAGTAGTTGCTCGAGTTCCGGGTGAGCTTGACGGATTTTTTGAGTGTGTCTGATTGACCACAAATTGCGCAAGCATCTGAAGTGTCCTTCCAATGCTTTGCAGTAGTTTGAGTGACAATCCCACCACATAGGTATGTTCGGATAAGGCGTGCGTCCTTGGGTTCAAGTTTCCCAAGGAGATTGGTGCATTGCACTGCGCATATCGTCGGGAGGTCTGCAGCCCGGGCCGTATTCATGATCTCAGATTGGACCTGTTCCTTCCAGGCGAGGAGAATGAGATTATGTATCTCCTGGATGTTGTCATCCAGGAAGTGTACCGGGACCGCCCCAGGGAAAAGCAAGTATCCATCGTCACGTGGTTTGATCTGTAAGGATGCAAGATAAGCCGCAAGCGTACCTGCTGGTCCAAATGCCC